AAGATTTTATTTATTTATTTGAGAGAGAGAATGAGAGAGAGAGAGAGAGAGAGCACATGAGAGGGGGGGAGGGTCGGAGGGAGAAGCAGACTCCCCGCCGAGCAGGGAGCCCGATGCAGGACTCAATCCCGGGACTCCAGGATCATGACCTGAGCCGAAGGCAGTCGCTCAACCAACTGAGCCACCCAGGCGCCCTCTCTTCCTCTTTCTGAGCCTGCTTCCTCTGTTCAGCAGTTCCCTGCTTGTCTCTAGGCTGAGGTAACTTGCATGAGTCAGGACATTTTTGGAAACTCCACTCAGACTGACCTGTACAAACAACAAAAACAACAGGAATTCATTCACTTACAAAACTGAAAAGTCCTAGTGTGGTTTCATCCAGGGCTACGGTCAAGAATCCCTGCTCTTTCCCAAACCTGTCACTGTGGCTGAGTCCCGGGCTGGGCCCACAGCCCCCCAGGTACACTTTGCAAGGCGCAATGCTCTGCGGCGCTCTGAATGGGGCTGTGAGTGCTCCCCTCTGTGGCCAGCCGACACTGGAGCCATTTTCCAGAGAGGGTGCCTTTTTGTAACTCCTCTTTTCTGCTTTGTCTTAGCTGTGGCCCTTCCGGGCCCACCCGGCCCTCCAGGACAGCCAGGGCTTCCCGGATCCAGAAATCTGGTCAGTGTTATTATCAGTGCGTGTTCCTCCTTCTGCTCTGGGTGGGTTTCCTTAGAACTTCAGCTATAAGTGTGTAGGGGCTGGCACACCATTTAGGTAAGAATTAGGCCTCCATGGCCATAGAATTGGAACAATTCCACACACAGGGAATATATATGATCTCTTTAGGTGACTTACCAAGTACAAAGATACGGAATACAAACTCAGTTATGACTTCGGTTCCACCCTTCTAATCCTTAATTGACTAAGCTGTCGCAAGAACCAATTCGATTACATCCGAAACCATAGGCACCAGAGTATCAACAGGATCCCAGAAGGCCCCATTGCTGGTCAGATCTCCCCTGGGTCATTCCGCCTTCTTGCTCCTTCCCCAGGGATATTTCCCGTACCTTTGTTACCCTGCACACCGTGGGTGCAGAGTGTAGCACTCTGAGATTATTACTATGCACAGGAAGAGGGACAAACACCTCACACAGATGTCAGGAGTCCTGGGAATGCTCTGGGATCTTGGCTGGATTTTAGTTGGAAAATGTGGCTGCCAAAGAAAAAAACCAGCTAGCGGCTGACAGAATGTTGCTATCTGGTACCTTTGGGGGATGTCTAAGCCATTTCAATGCACAAAGTCATTATTTTCAAGGCTAGGTGAAAATTAACTTTTTATGATCTTTCTCAGTTGAGATGAAAAATAAAAGCTCTCTTGGCCAATATTTCTCAGAGGTGTGATGCTTTTCAGCAGATTTTGGTAGCTTTTGTGGCTGCTCTTGGATTTGCCAAGATGGGTAGCTAATCTTTGTCCATTTTCTAGACGGAGAAATTACAGACCCCCTCTGCCTCTCGTATGTATTTAATATTACAACTACCCAGCTGGGCAAAAAAGATTCAAAACCTAAGCAGAATTGCTCACCGGCTTGCATTTCTTATTCCAAATTAAAACAAACTCGAAACTCTTTAAGGACAAGCAGGAGTTAAACACATTTAACAACGTCATGGCCACCGAGTGGCTCACACAGATGCAAGTGGGAAAATGTACCCATGGTTTTGCTAATACCAAGACCCAAGAAAGACAACTCTGTGTACAGTTTCTAACTGTCTTTGTGCTCCTAGAATATCATCTTCCTGTTTTCATTGATTTATTACAGTTCAGATTTGTGCTCCAAACCAATTGGTGTTTTTGTTTCCTCCTAAAGAATGTCCTTTGGCTATGAATGAAGTTACATATGTCTCTAAGGCACAAAGAGCCTTTTCAGTGGCTGTCAGGGGATGACTCCTGTTTGAATTTGCGACAGCCGGTTTTTCAAATCGTGCCACCGCTCTAACGATAATGACACTGTTGGGAATGGAAAATTTTCTGACAGGTCACGGCATTTAGCACCATGGATGACATGCTGCAGAAAGCACATTTGGTCATTGAAGGGACGTTCATCTACCTGAGAGACAGCACTGAGTTCTTCATTCGGGTCCGAGATGGTTGGAAGAAATTACAGGTTAATTCTTGAGCTTCTTTTTAACAAACTGCCTCCACATACCCTCTAAAAATAATAAACCGCCCCTGGAAATGCCATTTTTCCTGTTTTGAAAATAGGCTAACAATCTCTAGTGGATGTTTCATTTTTAATGTACTGTTTTCTTGAAGCTAGGAGAACTGATCCCCATTCCCGCTGACAGCCCACCACCCCCTGCGCTCTCCAGCAATGTGAGTAGTCATCCTGCCTTACTTCTCGCTCCTTCGCTCATCAGCATCCATGAAATCCCCCTTGGTGTCCAGAACCAAGCTCTGCAAACTCTGGCCAGCCACCTCTGCATGGTTTAGGATTTGACAGAAGGCCAGAAATTACCAAGTGCCAACAGAATGTTCTCACAGGAGAGCAGAGCAGGAACTGGACCCAGAGGCTGGAGACCTGCTATTTCTGTGTCGTAGCTGAATCCTCTTGGGCAATGGGCTTCCAACCCTTCTCGGCCTCAGTTTATTCCCCTGTGAAATCATGGTTGGCATACGCGATCTAGAAGAGCCCTTTATTTTTTGCACTCTGAGACTTCTTTGCCTGATAAGAACATTGGCAACGTCCATTGTCCATTTTTTGGCCCTACAGCAACCCTTTGAGGCAGGTCTTGCTATCCCCACCCTGCCGTTCAGGAAACTGAGGCTCTGAGTTGCTGACTGCTCTATGAAATGGATGAGTTGGCTCTAAGACACAGGTCTTCGGCTTCCTCGGTTCAGTGCTCTCTGTAAAAGATTGGAGAATATCCCCTCCCTTCCTGAGGATCATGTCTTCATGGGGGGTGGGGGGGGCATGAAACTCCCGGCAGTTAAGAGTGGCCTGAAGACAATGACAGACTATGTGAAGTATCACACTTGCACCTCGGTGCACTCTGAAGAACAGATTGGATGCTTATTCAGGACCGTTTGTTTTCCTCTTTTATGTAACAGCCACATCAGCCACCACCTCCGCTGATGCCGCTTTCAAGTGTCGGCTACGAGAGGCCTGCAGTAAGTACAGTTCATGCATTTTCCCAGCAAATGCTGCATGCGTGTCTAGTGTGTCCTTGCTGCGTGCTTAGAGCATGGGCCCTCCCCTCAGGATGCATAGAGACTAGCAAGAGGGGCAAACAGGTAGTTACAGTAGTTGGTAGTTACACTAGGTCAGTGAGGCGAGGTGCACACAGGGTGCTGGTGGTACGAGGAATGTCAAAGAATTCTGCCTTCTTTAGAGGAGGGAGCCTCTAAACTAAGACCTAAAGGAAAGTTGAGAGCAGGAGAAAGCCAGCTGGGAGGGAGAGAGTGGGCATGTTCAAGGCAGAGGGGATTTAGAACAGCGGGGGTCAAGGGGGAGTGCTGGGCATGGGCATTCGCGTAACTGTAATGGCAGGTACTTCAGTCTGGCTGAAGAGGCAGGTTTTAAGGCAGAGAAGGGAGAAGTTTAGTCTGCAGAGGACAAGGGCTTGTCATCAAGGGCCTGTAAGCCAAGCTAAGGGCTTTGACCTGTTGCAGCAGACAATGGGGAGCTACTGAAGGGTCTTAAACAAGGACAGGGTCTCTTAAGATTGGCATTTCAGAAATTACCTTGGTTACAGTGTACAAATGGATCGGCAGGGACAGGCCCAGGGGCCCAAAGACAGGTGGCTGTTGTATTCTTTGAACCAGGATCACAGCAGTGAACATGTAGAAAAATAAGACTGGAGAGAAAATAAAAAGGCAGAAGTGACAGATTTGGTCCCTGGTATGGATATGGGGCCGTGAGGATGAGGGAGGTCAGGAATGATGCCCAAGTTTCTGCTTGGATAATGGAGTGGTGCTGGTTTCCTTCCCAAGGATCATTTTGTTGCCAGAATTAAAACTCTGACTCTTTTCCTTTACTAGCTTAAGAGAAGATCTTGTTCAGATAATTGCAGGAACCTCCTGACACTTAACGGCAGGAAGTACAACTGGGCCTGTGGAACTCCTGTCCCTGCTGTTAGTCTGCTCCAGTACAGAGCAGTTTCTGCAAGGCTTTTTCTTCCTGCCTTCTCTCCTCCCCCATCCCAACGCAGAGACATAGGTCACCTCCACAAAGCTTGCATGCCACGTTGAGTTGCCGTGGCACTGATCATGGCCTCAGCTCCCGGTGATCTTACAGCTGCAGAGCCCGGTACTGCCTGACTCGGTTCAGGGTCTGGGGAGAGGTTGTCCACCTAGGTCATCTCGGCCTCATTGCCCACTCCCCACCAAATCAAACGTAGCCAAGAGAATGAGATTGAATGGCCTAAGGCCACTCTTCTGAGCGAGCGTTGAGGGGGGCATTTTCAAAGAACAAGGCCTGGGCTCGCACCAGAAATGTGTTTCCTGTGGTGTTGCCACTCATCAGGCAGGACCTCATCGGGGCACAGTGAGTCTGAGGTCCCCATCGGATATGTGAGTGGAGGCCGCCCAGAGGGAGTCGGATCAGGGGGCCTGGTCTGGAGATAAAAGACCTAGGAGGCTTCCTCCAAGCCATGGCAAGGGTGAGGGGGTGGTAGGATTCCCAAAAGAGTGTCTGCACATTGAGCAGACATTGGAGTGTGAGGAGCAAAAGCAAAAAGGAACCGATGGAAGAACCATGGGGACAAATAGAAGCCATAGCCCCCGAGAGGAAGAAAGAACGCCAAACAAGGTAGAAGCCAGCAGCGTCAGGTGCTGCCAAGAGGCCCATCAAAAGAACAAAACGGTGTCTTCCAAATTTAGAAACAGAGAAGAGCATATCTGGGGCATGGGGAGATGCCAGCAAGATTCCAGCTGCTTGAGGAATAAATGGGAGGTGAGATAAGGAAAGAGGGAAGCGTGTGGAGGTAACCCTTCCAAAAGCTCAGCCGTGAAGGGGAGAAGTTAGGGCAGCAGCTGAAGGATTTTTTTAAATAGTATTTTATAAATTATAAAATCATATGTATTGTGCTCGCTTCGGCAGCACATATACTAAAATCATATGTATTTTGTAGAAAATTTGGACAATAAATAAAAAGAATGGAGAAGGAAACAGCAAATCCCCAATAACTTTACCAAAACTACACCCGTCCCCCAGATCAACCTTTTAACACTCGATTGTTGAAACAGTATTGTCTTCATAAAAACGATAGCATATTTGTTATTAAAAATGTCCCAGCCCTTAGAGAAATACAGACATGAGGGCACAAAAGCCCCTAGTCTCGCCATTTGGAAACACCCATCATTCCAGACAGTTCTTTATGTTTCTTTGTAAAAAAGGAGAGGTGGAGATGGGTAGGATTGGAGGCATGGCAGGGAAGCTCTGCACGTACCTCTGTACCTTCCCTAGGTGTCCCCTGCTATGGGCACACCATCTTCTGCTGACCACCCTTGGGTCTAGCCAGCAGAAGCGTGCTGGTTGGAGGGTGATGAGACCATAGGGCCTCATCGCTGGGGTGCTGGTCTGCAGATCCGTGGGAGGGAGGAAGACAGAGCTTGTGTGGGGCTGGAAGTCTGGTGGCCTGAAAGCAGTCATGGTGAGTGAGCAGCATGCTGCAGCCCCCTCCCCATCCTCAGGCTGCTGCTGGGGGCGCTGCAGGGGAAGCCTTGTCTCAGGTGGGGGGCAGGGGGTGTGCTTCACCTGGACCTCTATCTAGTGTGGCGATACAGGCCGAACCAGGGATGAATAAACAGGAAGAAATTGGGAGGTGTGGCATGCGTGGAGTCTCTTCTCTTCAAAATGGGGAAGGAAAGGGGTGGCGAAACAGAGAAGAATGCCCCGAGACGTGCAGGGACCGCGTGGGGCGGTCTGAATGTTGTGGTTCATAGTGAGCTGTGCCCACCTGGCCGGACCCTTGATGAGCCAGAGAATGCCAATATGGCGGCCCTTGGTGTCGGGCCCTGTAGAAGCTTGGTGCTGGAGATGTTCAGACCGGAGAGGCAGCGCAGGAATGGGGGGAGGAGCACGGACCACCTCTTGCCTCACCCCACGGGGCTCATTTCATGTCTTTTGGTTTAAGATATTTTGAAATATTTTTCTTTTCTGGAGACTTGGGCCCAGGGTCTGCACCAGCCCTCCCCAGCTCTCTGATGGTGAGAACAAAGTCACTCCCGAGGTGACATCGAGGAGGGAGATGGCTACTCCTGGACACGTGTATTCTAGAGGGCACAGCACGAAGGCCGGGAGAGAGGGATGGGTTTAGGGAGAGGAAGTGTGGGAGAAAACACTATGGAAGGACTCTTATTTTGGCTACTGCCCAGGCTCGTGTTACGGTGTAACCCCTAGTCCCTAAAAGGGTCTACCCGGCAGTCTTAGCGAGAAGTGTCATAACCTTCTCCTTTCAGTGCCTTTCCCTCTGGTCCCTCACGATCAGCCCCAAGCCTACTCAGGAGGTTGAGGAAGGGGCAAGGCCAGATTGGTTGGCGGAGCTCTGGGATCCCGTACCAAGGCTGGCTTAAAACCCTCTTGGAAGCTGAACTAGGGCAGACCCAGAAGGCTCCAGCAAGTGGCCTGCGCACTGGATTCAGATCTCTGAAGTGCTTTATTTTGTTTTGTTTTCTCCTAAATGGAAGACACTGCCACCGTGTAGAGCAGTTCAGAGAGCTGAAGCCCGCTGCCTGGGCTCCGAGCTCTCCTGCCTCGGATTTGGTCAGGCCGGGGCTGGAACGCCACCCAGGGAAGAGGCTCAGTGAGACCACCTGTAGCGCCTTCCGTCCCAGGGAGTCCGGGGTCGCACTAGCAACCTGAGATGGGCATGCGGGTTGGAGTTTGCTTCTAACTCTTTTAACTCTCACTTACTTTTTTAGCTGCACTTGGTTGCTCTGAACACACCATTCTCCGGGGACCTTCGAGCTGATTTGCAGTGCTTCCAGCAGGCTAGGGCTGCAGGGCTGTTGTCCACCTACCGGGCCTTCTTATCCTCCCATCTGCAAGACCTCTCCACGGTTGTGAGGAAAGCAGAGAGATACAGCCTTCCAATAGTGAACCTCAAGGTAAACATAAATAATCTCCCCATTGTCTCCTGGAGGCCCTGGGCTCCACAGGGACCATAGGAGCTGCCACTGCCTGACATCATCAGAAGCCTGCTGGTTCCAGACCCCACCTGTCCCTCTTGGGCTCTGTGCCTGGGTGGGTCAGTTGAACCTCCCTGTGCCTCAGTTCCCTGACATTGACCATGGCCCTTCCTGGTTGGACGGTACAACTCTTGGAGCAGACAAGTACAAAGTACTTTATATCCGTAATCTTAATAGATGCTTCCAATAAAAGAGGGAGTTGTTTTTTCCTCACATTGTCAGTTGTGGAAACTGAGGCACAGAGGGAGAAAGGAGTTTGCCGGAGGGCACTAGAAACCAGAAGTCAGGTCCTTGACACCCAGTCTGGGGCTCCCAGTTCCACCCGAGGCCGCTCTCTGTAGGGCGTGGGCTGGACGGCACCAGAGAACTGGTGAGCACTGGTCCCAAACCAGAGCCACATTGTCCTGCCCCCTACTTTGGTCCTCTCGGCACATCTAAGTTGCCCAGACCTGGCAGATCATTCTCTGCCCCCTTTCGCTGGTAAGGCAGGGCCTTCTATGGCCCCTGTTCCACCATGGAAATAGCCGGCTCCTTTAAGGCCTCAGAGGGACAGCCGTCTTTCTGCTCACACACATCCTAGACCCTGACCTCTCACTGTATCTCACAGGTACTGTTAGACCCTTAAGTCCCTGTGACCCCCATGCGCCAGTTTGGTACCTCCGGACCCCACACCTGGCCCTTTCCGTCTCTTTCCCTGAGGTTCTGTTCTGCCACATTCGCCCACTCAGATGACCGGTATTCTAGGAATACAAATAACTGAAGGAAACTGGGCTCCTTCAGGAAAAGGAGTGAGAGAGTCATCTCTGTATCACCTACAGTGCAGATTGGATAAGCCCTGGCACAAATTTGAAGTTTGGTGTAGATATATGTAGAAAATTTTTAAAGGCAAAAATTAATAAAGACCTAAAACACAGCTTTGATGGGGAGGAGCCTTTATGCACCTATAATAAGAGAAAGTACCTCGAGAAATAAGGAATAAAACCAAAAGGGTTCAAGGATGGATTGTAAAATCAAACCACAGACATTTCCTGAGTTCCTGCTCTGTCCAGGCTCTGCGATTGGGGCTGGTGGCTTTGGCATGGGGTGGCCTCTCGGCCTTGAAGAACGAATAAAGAGTCCACTAGCAGGCCCATAGCACGGTGACTCCATGTGGCATTTCTGTCTCCACAGGGCCAAGTACTTTTCAACAATTGGGACTCAATTTTTTCTGGCCACGGAGGTCAGTTCAATACACACGTTCCAATATATTCCTTTGATGGCCGAGACGTGATGACGGATCCTTCCTGGTGAGTAGCGGGTATATGGTGTGATAGACAGTTTTAGGAGACCTTCTAGCAATGGAATGCTTTTACCGGCTGCCCCTCAGGGCTGTTGCTAGCACAGAGCCTCAGCGAGGCAGCTGAGAGCCGTGGAGAGAGCCCCTGGCCTTGCAGCCAGGAGACCTGAGGCCAGTACCTTAAGAAGGGACCTTTCAAATTTCCTCCACTCTTTGAGCCTCAGCTGCCTCCCTGTGAAATGGGCAAGATAATCATATCCGTACCACAGGACTGCTGTGAGCGTAAGACGACAAGTGTAAGAATGGCTAGCATGCTGTCGGCGCCCAGCGAGTGGTAAGGAATGCTGTTCTTGGCGGCCCTTGAACCCCGTACTGTGAACTGTGCCCTAAGTCCTTGGACACGATGTGTGCTATTGAGATTAGGACAACTCGGCAAAGCTTTCCTCAGTGTCTGCCCGATGCCCACCTGGAAGGCATAGTAATAAGCCTCATGACCCCAAACCTTTACAAGGCTCACAGTCTATAGGGGAGGACAGTCACCAGCTAGCTCCAGTTCTAGACAGAACACTGTAATTGTAAAATGGAGTAACAGATACTATGATGGACACATGGAGGAAAGATTTATCCTTATTTGGGGCTGACAGTCAAGAAAGCAGCCTGTAAGAGGGGGCATTTAATGGACTTTAAAAGACCAAAAGGAATCCCTGGTCTGAAAATGAAAGAGAAGCCACTCCAGACTAAGGGACCTTGTGAGCAAAGGTTCCGATTCACGAAAGCGGAGAGTATGGGCTGAGAACAGGGACGAGCCTGGTGGGGTTGGTGGACAGGGTGTTCAGCTAGTCGGAAAGAGTGACGGCTCCCAGTGGTGGGGTCAGACCATGAAGGGCTCAAGAGTTGGACTTGATTCATGACTTATGCCAGTTTGTTCTTCGGTGAGGTACACCACGAGGAAGTGACATCTCAAAGGTAATGTGCCGCAATTCTTTTGCAGGCCCCAGAAGGTCATTTGGCATGGCTCCAGCCCCCACGGAGTGCGTCTTGTGGATAACTACTGTGAAGCGTGGCGGACGGCTGACATGGCAGTCACGGGACTGGCCTCCCCACTGAGCGCAGGGAAGATTCTGGACCAGAAAACATATAGCTGTGCTAATAGGCTCATTGTTCTGTGTATCGAAAACAGTTTCATGACAGATGCCAGGAAGTAATGACCTTCCAATGATTCCTAAGCGTTTTCCAGTTTTCCTTATGTGAAGAGTTGACACTGAAATCTAAAAGGTTTAAATGTTGTAAATATTAGTTTTTTATTACACATTCGTCACAACAGCAACCAAAGAAAACATACCTCAATACACTCCAAACTGAAGACATAAAGGACTCAGATCACAAATAAAATCTGATCCATCTATTGGTGCTAGATTCTGCAGGAGACCCCGTGCAGTGTGAACACATCCCAACACGGTTAAGAGCAAGTTGAAAACAAAGGCCTTGGCATCCTGCCCCCTGCATCCTTCAGAAAGTAATTTCCTCCTTTAACCATCGCTGCTGAGTGTCCTTCATGTTTTCTCACAAAGTCAGTGTTTAGACATGTTCCCCTTTCTATGTGCCGACCGAACGCTTTACTCTTCATGCATCCGTAATATACAGCCGTCCTTGGCTGCTCAGACAGACAGACAGAACTGCTCGAATGACCCCATTTGGATTTTCTGATATTACCAGCCTTATTGTTTATTTTCTAAAATATTATTGCCATCGTGCTTTAGGAGTTTTATATTTTTACCCAATCATATTTTAGTATGGCACCTGTTTATATGACTCTGACTTGCTGGAAAAGTGCAAACTCCAAATGATCTGCAACTAGAAGAGAAATAGCGCATAATAACTACCTTTCCCTTGGTGGCCCTTCCCCCCGCCCCCACCCCCAATTTTATGACTTCCATGGGGCAACTCTCGGATTACAACTGCCGTTGAACCAACAGGTTCATCAGGATGAATTTTTCTGAGACGCATATATCTTCGTGCTGTATACTTTGATTTTTTTTTCCATGTAAGTGAACATAAAAACAGCTTTTCCAGGCACTTTCTTCTGTTTGACTCTTTGCCCTATAAGTTCCTTTATTCTCCACCGCTGATGTGGAAGTGGCCCCGGGGCGGGTTTGCTCACCCTGCCCCTGCTACACAGCCCTCAGGAGATGATCAGAGAACAGGAGGATTTCCCGGCATGCTCCTGCGCGCCTGCCTGTTGTGTCCCCCTTGGTGGGGGCAGCGTGGGGTGGGCAGAAGAACCCGGGCAGGGCAAACGCGGTGAATCGTGACTGCCGCAACGCATGACCTTGGGCAAGCCTGCCTTGTTCTTTCAAGGAGGTTGGGATAAAAAAAAAACCCGAATATCAGCTCCCAGCTATTAAACATCAGCCTTATTATAAGACCCACTTACCTTTCTTAATAACCCTGCAACGTAGGTATTTTTAGCTCCACTTTACAAATGAAAGAAAAAAAAAAGTTGAGGCTCAGGAAGTCACTTGTTCCAGGTCGCCTAGCTGGTGAGTGGTGGGGCTACTTTCAGACTCGGTCTGTGTCAGCTCTTTGCAAGGAGCCACTGCAGGAGGCTGCCTGTCTGACCCCTCCAGCTCCAAGTCTGTGATGCTCTGGCTCTTGGCTCGACCCCGCAGGAGAGACAGAATTACCAGGCGAGGGGCATGCCGGGATACTTCCTCCCATTCAGCTGGGCTGGCCCAGAAAGTCGGCTAACAGAATCCACCCAAATAGTCCTTGAGGTAGGAAGGAAACTGAGGACAAAAAACAAAAGAGCACACAGCCCAGAACCTCCACTTAGGGGCTTCCTAAATGGAAGAGTGATGAGAATCTCTAATGAGTCATAGAATCAAAGGCACTTACAGGTTGGAAAGTCCCAGAAGTGGATTGTGGAGGACCGGCCCACCTACCAAATTGACGGGGCTGGGAGCTGCCTGGCAATGGACAGGAACTGAGAGAGGAAGGGGGCCTGTGGCTCCTGAGGATGCCAAGTGAAGATGCCATCCATTTCAGTCAGAGCCCGCCCCATGCTGGTGCCAGGAGGGGAACCGAGGAAACCAGGAGGACGGATCACAAGAGCCCCTTTTACATGCCCTGCACCTCCGGACTTGGTACGGCAGGCACTGTGTTGTCGGAACCTGTAGAAAGTGCCAGAAGGAGACAGCATGGACTTCAGGGAACCGTCCGCTGAATGCTAGTCAGTAACGGGGACACAAGCCAAATTCACAAGCCAAAAACACAAAACAGCAAACACGCAGAAAGGAATGTATTGGCTGTGGAAACCAGGAGGAAAGATGGGGAATGCAAGAAACTCAAGTGATGTGGTCACTTAGTCTGTTCTGTGTGTGTGTGTGTGTGTGTGTGTGTGTGTGTGTGTGTGAGAGAGAGAGAGAGAGAGAGAGAGAGAGAGAGAGAGAGAGACTGTCTGTCTGCTGTCTTGCTTCTGCTTTTCTCTTTATTTGGCTTCCTTCCCTCCAGGGAGGAACAAGAGTTCTTCATGTGGCAGGGGTTGATCACAGACAGCCCCAGGCTTATGTTGCCCCACCACCGCAGAGACTGGCCTCAGAGGAAAGAGACTTCTCCCTTCTGGGACTATATTAATTCCCGGAAAGGACTTGATCCGGCCCACCTGTGTTGTGTGCCTGGAACTGGGATTGGCAGCTCCACCCAGGATGAGCTGTGCAGAAGGAACGGTTCCTCCACCCAGAATGTGAGGTTTACAATGACCAGAAAATGGGGACTCAGGAAGTCGAGAAAACAACAAACAAGCAAACAAACAAAAATCCCAGTACGCACAGGAAGTGCCAAGTGTGGGCGGTGTGGTGGTGGATGAGGACAGAGGTGAGATCTCGCTGGCCTTGCATTCTAGGATAAGGCTTTTGAACTTGATCCCGCAACTGGTGGCATATGTTGGGAAGATTTTAAGAAGATGAGATATGGGATCAGGTCTTTGCTTGAGAAAAATCAAGCAGGTCTTTTGTTTATTCATTCATCCATTCAGAAATGCTTTTTGAATGATGATTTTGTACCCAGGACTATGTTTGGATTTGGAAGTTCAAAGACAGATGAAGCTCCCCACTTTTTAAACCCACCGAACACATTCTCTGGCCACAGACTATTACAGACCTCATGTATATCTCCTTCTCTCCCAATTCCGCAGAGACCTCACCAGTTGAGGCAAGTATATGTGTGCAATCTCTGCCTAACCTAGCAGCTGGAGAAGCACTTTTCTGATTACTCCTTGAGCTCCTGGGTCACCGAGACACCACTGAGCCCCTCACAGCTCTTCCATCCCCACTGGCTGACTTTCCCCTTTGCCTTCCACCTTATACCCAACTTGCAGGGCAGCAGAGTATAGGCAGGCCTTGGTGTGGGTTTGAATTTGGGCTCTGCCCCCAAAGAACCTTGTAATCATAGGCAAGTTACAGAAGATCGTCCCCTACACTCAACCTTTCCCTGCAGCTGTTTCTTCATCTATAAAACAGAGATAGTAATGGGAAAACTACTCTCTATTGAGTTAAGTTGTTGGAAGCTCTAGAAAGGGTGTTCTCACCCTGAGTAAGCACCCATAAGTGCTCACTGTCTTTGGCCTGCCCTGATGTTTCTCAGGAAGGAGGAGCTGGGGTTCTTGACTTGCTGGGTGATGTCTTCTAATCTGCCTGGTTTCCCTGCCTGACCTCAAGCCCAGGGCTCGGGCTCTACCTGTACACGCTGGATACAACTATACCTGTCGGTGAAGATCCACTGCCCCAAGCCCCTAAGTGGATGAGAGGCCCAAGCTTCTGGCTACCCTCACCCTCTGCCCCTCCTCCCCATAATCCAACAGCTAAAGTGTTATCATCTGGCTCTGCAGGGGCTCCCTGATTCAGCTCTGGCACTGGGGCTGGATTCCTCCTGATTGACGGGAGCACGTGCTACAGTGACTATGAAATAGTCTGATGATCCCCCTGCCTGTGCCTGCCCGGCACCCTGAGTTCCAGAAAGTACCCAGAGTGCCCTGTTATCTGATATGTTTGCAGAGGAGATTGCCTGCCCCACTCCCCCTCCCAGACTTGCTCTTTTTCCCTTAGGCCTTCTCTCAGTGAATGGCCCTGCCACCCAGCCAGCCGCCAAGGACTCATTTATCTCTTCCTTCCCTCATTCATTCAACAAATACTGACTGAATGCTTCCTTAGAAGTAGTAATAACAGCAACAACAACAACAATTTAAAAAAAAGTAAGTGCTAGGAAGGTCAACAAAGTCTAGATATTTCCACGATGGCTACTTCTGTTCTTCTAAACGTCACAGTATTTTACCAATATCTTGGCGGAGCACTCTGCTCTGCTGCAGGTGTTGGTCTTTGAGACACAGTGGGGTGTTGGCTCCTCTCTTACCTTCTGTGGGACTGCTGCTCACACCTCCAGGCTGATCGCCTGGCCTCCAGCTTCCCCCTCCAGTTCATTCTCCACATCAGGAGAGAGAACTTTCTAAAGAGCCTGCCACATGCTGTCATTTGGTTTCCCCCTTAGATGAGCATTCATTTGCAAGTAGTTTATGTGGCAGGTGATCCCAGAACACACCTGACAGGGAAGTGGGGGAGTGAGACAAAGAAGGGAAGGCAGGCTATAAAGGAGACATCTAGTCACCACTGTGGATGACCAGATCATGCTCTCCTCTTAGAAACTCTGGGAGCCAATATGCAATGAATAGGCACCACAGAATTTCCCACCTAAGAGACAAGGGAGCTGTGGTAGTTATACACTATCAGTCACTGAAAGGCAGGGGTGCGTTAAATTCCAGTACTTCTGAGCGGCCATGCCCAGGCAGAGTGGGCTCAGGCTACCAGAGAAGGCTCTTAGGGTAGACTCTGGCAAGCACAAGTTGGAGGTCTCCAGGCTGGGCACTGTAAAACCTGCTAAATCAGGCTCCATCTAACGGGAAGCCAACACAGGTTTTGTTTCAAGAACAACGCCAACCAGGCAGAAATCTCGAGAACTTGTTGGGAGATAGAAACCTGGCACAAGCAGGTATCTGGCAAACACGACACAGGCAGTGTCTGCCTGTGATTCTGTCCGGCTGCTGGTGTCCGCAGGACTGTGCCAGTAGGGGTTGGAGGCAAACCTGCTCTAGGAGCAGCCAGGAAAGTGCACAGTGACCTGCACAGTCGCTCATAGCACTCGGAAGACCCATCAATCCTTTTCAATATAGATTTTCATATTTATAAATACCGGCAAATAACAAGCATCTGTTAGTCATTTGAGGAGATGAAGTGGCCTCAAAATGGAACCAGAAGATCAATCAGAGCCAATTAAGAAGAATTATTATGGAAAGCAGGAGGTAACTTTTAAAACAATTCAAGTTTGTATTTCGGTGAAAAGACAGAGGGCAGGAGAAGCACAAAATAGGATACTGGGAGAACAGGTAACAATCCTTGAAAATAAAATAATTGTCTGCGACCCCAAATAAAATAGAACTGCAGCATGTATACTATTGAAAACTGACTTAGTGAGTTATCAGATAAACTCATAAGAATTAATACGATCCCCTCAGAACACAGACAAAAAGATAAATTCATCAGATGAAAAATAAGAGAGAGGAAGATAGATAAAATGTTCCAATATTTATGTAGGAGTTTTAGAATCAGAAAGAGGAATGGATAGTTTTTTTTTTTTTTTTTTTAAGTAATCTCTACACCGAACTGTGAGGCTTGTACTCATGACCCTGAGACCAAGAGTCACACGCTCTTCTGACTGAGCCAGCCAGGCGCCCCAGAAGTGAAATATTAATTAACAAAATAATGAGAGAAAATTTCCTGAGCTGAAAGAGTTTTATCTATGGATTGAAGTGGTTCACTGAATCACAGGATTATAATGAAACAGTCTATAAACCACTGACACAGAAGCCATTTTTAAAATTAAAAGATTCTATATACAATCTACTGATAATGAATTTTAAAGCATAGATATAATGGATAATGTGCTGTGGAGATGTAAGGAGCAAAACTGATGCAAAAAGAAATAGCCTAAATATTCTAACCACAAGTAAAATTTAAAAGATTATAA